CAACAATCATGCTGACTACTTTTGAAATTCGAACATTGATGTACACAGTAGTACTTACGTCGAAGGTAGCGGTATGACGCCATCATTTGGCTTAAACGGCAATTGTAAACCGGGTGCATTTCCCTGAAACTCATGTCGAATTAGAATAATTAAAATAAAACAATTAGACATGCACTACGAAAGCCTAAAAACAGGAAACAACAGGAAACACCGAGGAATATTACGAGCGTAAAGAACCAAGGATCAAATAAGCGGCTACTATTTTAGAGGCCAAGAGAGATAACGTATGTACTTCTATCGTATAACATTTGCGTGCGGTGCTTTTAAAATTATATTGTGCGAAACAAATGTGCAAAGTAAAATCCTCGATTCTTTTCGTGAAATCAAACTACAGACTGACGAGAATACCATACAACCCTAAAATAAACAGTCAGTTCACATTGCGATAAAAGATGTGAATATGTGGAAGCATTATATAAAATTTACTCTACATTTCCGGTAAAAAATTTGTGCATGAGCATACACAGATATATAGTATTATATAAAATTATACATCAAATATGTCCAAATATATATTTTTAGATTGTATATTTCTGTATAATTCAATACAATTCTACACAGTTCTATATAATTTTATAGATTTATACATGCTTTTATATGAAAATTTTTAAAAAGAAAAACTGCTCATTTATAATTATAAATAACTGTACAATTGTACACAATTACATATAATTCTAACTAAGCAATTTTTCCTATAAAAGCATGTATAAATCTATAAAATTATACAGAACTGTGTATGGACATATTTCATGTATATTTTTATATTATTCTACATATTTATTCATGTTTATGCATGAAAAGTTTTGTACTGGGTTATTTCACCATGTTTCACATATTCTATCGCAAGTGAGATATATAGAAAATATGCTACTCAGAAACAAATGCGCTACACAATAGTTCTTTAAAGACGCGCGGTTGTGTAATAAATATTATAAATTTAAACTAGATCCTTTGGACTATAATCCTAGTCTTTAGTTCTGAGTTTAATGAATATTTCTTCAACCTTTTTCTAACGAAAATAAAACTGAATCCGTTTACAGAGCTGTTTAAAGGAACGATCTCTTATAATTATTTCGAGTAATACAATGACATACGTAACAAAAGTATAGGCAAATAATATAGACAAACAATAATAATACGGACAGTGTCCTAACGTTTACCTTCCCAAAAATTAGAGACAAACATAAACATTTGGTAAAATCTTGTTTCAAAACGTTTAGGACACTCCGTAGTTTGAGGAGTTTATTCACCAAACAACCAACATCAACCAGGATCAATTTGCCGTGTGCCACAATGGTGTACGTCTGCAAATATATTTACCTTTTCTACTTTACTGTGCAGTTTCTGCAAAACATCCTCGCACCGTTGCAATGTCTCCATCTTCAACCTATTTTGTCAATGACATTCACAGTTAATAACTGAACGGTCGCAGTATCGTAATTTCTACCTAACACCTTTTCTTTTTAACAGCGGAATTCGCGCGGTTATGCTAGCGCCACACTATGCGCGATTCGTGATTCGTATATTTGTGAATAGTGTGGAGGAAAAATTCGTCGATTCGCCGTGCGCGATTCACAATTCACAGTGATTCGCTGGCCGAGCGGTTTTTTGACGAAAACAGTGTTTTTTTGACTAATATTGAAATTTGACTAATTGTAGACTTACAATGCAAGTCCTGTAATAACTGATAAAGATTAAAAGTTGTCGCACTTAACACGAACGAAACGACAAATAACAAATTACGAATGATAAACTGCGAATCACGAATAGTATGGCAATAACGAATGTCCATCGAATGTCTGTGAATCACAAATCACAAATCGTACTTTACGAATCGCGCATAGTGTGGCGCTAACTTTACATTAGTAATCTCGCATGAATTTGCCGTCTAACGTACTGTCCCTTGCTGTTCGACAGAATCCCGTGGAGACCTCGCATCTTCTGTAATTGAATCTCCCGATTGTCCTTGTCCTTAACGTTCTGCAGCCTCTCGATCATCGCTTCCAGGAACGGAATGTACTTTTGCATCTCCGCAAACTTTTTGCTGTATTCGTCCATCTTGTTCCCTGTTGTTGATCAACCTGCATTTAGAAAAACACGCCGCTCTTTTATAACAGCAACCACTGTTTCTTTTAATCAGCCTGTATCTGTTACACGAGACAAATTGATTTTTATTTCTACTTCTAATTCTACGTCGCAAGAGATATATGTCGAAATAGACTTTAGATATTTCGAACGTACAATATGCACGCGAGGTGAAAAACCGACAGGGCCGATGAAGATCTCTAAAGATCACCAAAAAGAACACGTCGCCATCTCATTTTTTTATAATCCACGTTCGCAGAATAAATATTTTCGACCGGCAGGCGGAATCTTACTGATCAATTATATGCATTTTCGCGACTGATAACTTTTTTATAAATTTTATAAATTTTATTGAGCACACTCACATTGACATAATTACCACAAGCAATAACGGCACGCGAGATTTGAACTGTCGCGACTCGACGAGGACGCGACATGGTCGAGCGATCTCGTCGTTAATTATTTATCAACATCTTTCATTCGTTAGACGCAAAGACGTCCGTTCGCTCGTCAACGAAGCCTCGGAAAAGCACTGAAAACATTACAGATTTCATGATTTCTCTCGCCGCGAGTAGTTTCGCTTTCAAACGAGACCCTCGATAAGCAACTTTGGTGCCGTTCGCCTTATTCCGATTCCTCGGAGAGTCTGCGAATATTTCGCGCACGCGTAAGCACAGCATGCAGGCCTCTTACTTCCCGCCGATTAATACCGATTGCATTAAACCGCCTACTTATCGTAGAACGGTGTAATATCTGTCGTTCACCAGACGCGCCGCAATTTGCTCACAATCATAGCCGTAGCGGCAAAAGGCACCATTTTCTATCACGGCTCTACTTCCATTTTGAAAGAGGCTTCGACCTCTCGTCGAATTCGTGCGATTGATGAATACCTATGTATCGTGCGTCATCGCCGATACAGACCACACTCCTCGATCGCGGGACCACCAAATGGCATCGCTACCGCGCTTGTCCAGATATATATCTATATATACAAATATACATATATATATATATCGTGTTCCGATTCGATTTATTGGAATTTCTCTCCTTTTCTCTCTTTCTTTTCACGTTCTATTCCGTTCTCACGACGGAATAACGGAGTATCCCCATGCGAGAATGCACGGGAGTCGCCTCTCTCTTTGTCCCGAACACGCAGCCGTCCGTACGTCCGTTTGCACTTGAACAAAATTTTCTTGGGGCTCTAGAACGAGAATCGGAGCGCCGCGAACGTCCTTCGACGAGCGTCCAATCTTCGGCAGAGGGACCGAATGACGATGCCGCGCTTCGACCAAGCGCGTACACCTCGCTGACGATCGATTATTTTCCGACAATTCTGCACGCTTTGTCACCGCAGTTGTTCGCATTGCATACAGGGTGAATCATAACGCACTGCGTCGGATTTAAGAGGGAGGCCGGTTTTCTTTCGTGAAACGAAACGGCTCTCGGACAGGATCGACGGCTCTCGGACAGGATCGACGGCTCGGGAGATTTCTCGAATATTCTCAATTTGAATTTCGTCTGGCGACTTCGAGTCTTGTTCAAGGACAACCACGTGTCTCGTGACTTTGCGTTTTAAATCAGGCCGCAATTGATTTCGCATCAAAGAGCGAGGCTATCATTCGTGATATTACACGCCGATTACATACCAGAAACATTATCATGTGATTTAAATGCACAAAATGTTATTACCGTGTATACAAAATCTGACACATTTTGTTACAAGGTAACATACAGAACACCATGTATATTAGTACACGCAGTCGCATTAAGCGTACGCACGTAAATGATATCCCTAGTTTTCGTTGTAATACACGTAAAAACTTTCCCACCAAAGCTATAGCTAATCATGGTGGTGCTCCAGGTGTAAGATGGATATTGATCCAATCAACCCCTTTCACTGTATGGAGCGCATCTGTTTGTCACACGAAAGCAACCTTTTCAGTGTTTAAGGACGGTTCTTCACCACTGTTTTATGCAATTGAATTAATCATCTTAGATTTATTCAAAAACGTACGGTAATACATTAAGAAGGTTTTTGTGATGAACGATACACGTGCTAGAACACATAGTCGTTCATTCATTTGGATTATGCGTGAATAGTGTAGTTTTCAAATAAAGAATCGATCCGCAAATATAGCGTTAAGAAGCCGTATTTATTTGTTGCGAGCGTGACATATTGTTAAACAAATCGCCACTCATGTGGGAAAACATTTGTTGCTCAGCCAAGTGACATTTATGCACGATGCATCAAAGAACAATAGTGAAAGACAAATTGTTAATTAATATGCGCGCGAACACACCTCTAAATATATCGATTCCAAGAGCGCGAAGAATTTATATAAAATATGCAATTACCGTAAATTTAATTTTTTGGCGAAATAAAATTTTTATCAAGACACTATACTTCCTTCGATTTGATTTTGCAAAATTTTAATCCCTAACCTTCGTATAAAACGCTTAGGTTTAGAAAGATTTATCTTGCATCGCGAGCGAATAAATTGAGGTGGATATTGCGGTAATATTTATTCCTAGTGTTATTTAACACGTCTTCCCTTTACGTTAAACGCGTTCAGACGTGTTCAAGCGTATTCAGCGCACGACACAGCGCCGTTGCGGCCACGTTAATTGTGCCGTCGAGACAAATTTATTATGCGCATGTGGGCTGCATAATATACATATACCGGAAACTTATCGAACTTGCATTGAACCTTGTGTTTAGATTTTGTGCTACTTAGCATAAAATGTCGTTATTTGACTTTTCAACATCATGCGTTGCTTGAAGCGCACTGTATATTAGTAATATATTATAGCAAATATAAATTTTCATGTTTCTTCGAATCTTAACCGAATCTCCAATGTGACATTTAATTTCACGTTGCTAAGATAACAAATCTTGAAACTCAAAATGACGTCATACAAAATGACGCTGCATTCTGCGTCATTTTTATTATTTATGAATCTTCGTATATTCACTATTTTGTGTAAAAAAATACACTTTTTATCATTTTGCACATTCTTCTGTGGTAAACACGCGCACATAACTTCTTTTTAAAAATCCACCACACACGCACACCTCACAGATTTATTAATATATGATAAACACCATCACAGATTATAAAATTAAAACAAGTTTGCGATAAATAAAACTGAAGTCTTGTAGATAATAGCTAATACATTTCGCAGTTTTACTATACCTCGGGAACTTCCGAATAGTGATAAAACCATAATTATCCTAAAAAAACTATTCGATGTGCACTGCACGCGTAAAGAATCGTTGCCTTCAAAGCGACACAAAGCGTCCCAGTTAGGGCACAAAGCCTGATCTCGTCGGAAACACTCTGAAGTCGACAAAAGTCGAAATAATGGTGAAAGATAAATTTGTATGTAGATTGAAAATCAGCAAAAAAGAGATGCCAGAGATCGAAATGGCTATCGGAAACTCAGAAATTCCAATCGACGAAAATTAAGAGCTTTAGTTCGAAGCTGAGAGTAGATATGGAGGCCAAATCGTGAGAAGTTTAGATTTCCACAACCTCTACAACTTCCTCCAAGTGGCCGGTCGAAATGAACATGCGCCATTTGCCGAAGCAAATACCACAGCAGATAAATCCACGTATCACTCGCGTTATGTTCAGATATTACTGATAGAAGATTCACGTACGTACCAATAACCTACTGAAGACCCTATCTATCGAAACAAATCGGCGCCGTCGATCAGTGATCAACACTCTAGAAAGATTTCCTACCAAATCGTCGTCGTATATCACCTTATTGTGCCTAGCTCTACGATTCGAAGAAGAAAGACCGAGGCGAGATACATGCAGCCTTGTAGTTCGATGACGCCAGTAGGTGGCGTAGAGATCTGTTATGAGGGCGCCACTTGATTGAAAAATTTAGGCTTTCCGAGCAGCCCAGGCTTTCTCGCAGACCGTCGCCATTCTTTGCATGACCATCCAAAAGATCAGACTAGATATGTCGTCAGGCTGAGCGCAACGGAATGTCCATGGCGTATATATTGAGGGTTAAAGAGCGCCTAATGATCTCCCGATGCAACGTCATAGCGAAAGATACGAACAATTCTCTACGATCGAGACGGCAAGAGGCCCCGAAATAAAATCTGGAAATTCAACGAGCTCAAAGATATTCTGGATAACAGTAAAATGCAAGATCTATTCAACATTTGATATTAAATGTTTAAAATTCATATTTAACCGACGTATCACCAATGAGTTTACAACATGTTAATTCAGTCAAACAATTTCCATCTAATTATCCTCCATCTAATTATATCAGGATAATTATTTGGGAAGATTGTAAAAAACATATGTAGAGAAAGGATTTTAGAATTTCTATAAAATTAATTTTTCAGCGCTGCGAAGCCGATACACGTTTCTTCGACGTTACGGGAAGCAGCGAGCTCTTTGAAAATCCCAAAACTTTCCCAAGTGCAACGGTCGGCAACGTACGTCAGTCGTTACGTAAACCACGTCAGTAGCAAAACGTTAATAATATCCTCATACATATTAAATTATCACCAAATCTTGCTCTCTTTCCCTCGCTGTCTCTCGTGTGGTGTAAGATGCCTCGGCGACACGCAATAAAACACAACAGAGCACAAAGAGGAGACAATGTTGTCTCCTACGACGAGAACAGTGTTACAGAGTTCTAAACCTCTCGCGTTGGAACTACGAGTTGTAGTCGTGTCACACAATGGCGACTGCATTCGAGAATCGCTGCACTCCCGACGAACAATGGCATCGAAAATGACATCGTGGTGCGCATCGTCACACTGGAATCTCGGTGTAACAAATCACGCGGCGAAAATGCGAAAATAAAAGAACAAAGATCTGTTTTGTGAGCAAAAATTTCCATTCGAGCACAATGGAATTTCGACAAATAGCGACAAAATTCGTTTCACAACGACAAGCTCGCCCGTCCAAACTGCGAATCAAGGGAACGCGCGGCCCTTCGCGTGCAAACGAAGGACAATCGAAGCCAATGCGATCGAGACGCGGCGTCAAAGCAGTTAAGCGCGTATCTGCCTGTCGGAAAGAAAAGAGAGGAGGAAGGAACAGACCGAAAGGAAACAAGAGACGAGAGATGACCTTAGTTTTTGCGCACCTGATAGATCATCACCTTCGGAGGCAGACAGTTGATAGTTCGTCGATCCGTCTCCTGCTTCTAGATACGATCCTGCGTCCGACGCGTTCCAGCCCTCTGTCTCTCTTTCTTTCTCTCTCTCTCCCCCTCTCCTTCCCTCCCTGCCGTAGTGGCCGTGCGACGTTTCATCGATGCGGTTCGCAGTTCCCTTCCTCCTCCTTCTCTCCCCGTCCCGCAACCATTTACACAAAAGCTACACACGCACACACAATGTCCGACACTGAATCTTGGGGACCTACGTGAGATTTCCTTTTTTTGAGTTTCTCGTAGCGCTCTCTATAGCCGTCCGCAACGCCGGTGCGGGAAACTAGAGCACCGACGAGGACGAGCAACGGCGAGCTCCGTCCCGTGCCAACGCCCAGAGACACTCGCCGTACCGAGTTCGCGGCGTCGGAACCTCTCGCGGTTACGCAGTGGCAACGACGTCGCTCGGAGTGCACAAACGCTCCTTCACCGGCATTGTAACGGGCGAGAGCGAGCTCCCGAGTTCGATATAGTCGCCAGTCCAGCGGCCCGAATCGTCGGTACGACCGATCTTGCGACTTGTGCATTTGTGTCCCGTGTATTCGCTCCGGAAAGAGCAACGAGAACCATTCCCGGTAGTAGAGAGCATTCTCGCCACCTCAGCCACTTGGCCGATCCGTAGATCTGTTCTGTCGAGTGGAAGAGAGTCATACATGTGTGGTTTATGCATGAGCCCCGTGTATAATATATATTATACTTTGGCGCGTCCTCGCGAGGAGTCATCACCCGCAACTTTTCCTCGGCGCGACATTCCTCGCCCCCTGGTCTCCCCGTGAGAGAGAGAGAGAGAAAGAGAGAGAGAGAACGAGCGGTCTCTTCCTTCCTGTTTGTCTGTCGGCATCCGTGATTGTCGCGTGTAGAAATTTCCCCAGCCAATTTTACCCCTAGGGGGAAAGTGGAACAAAGCCCGAGAAGTCGTGCGACGCAAATTCTTATCGATTCGTATCGCGAGGTTAACGCGACGACCTTCCGCGCACATCTGGCGAGGTTTCGTCGACGCTTCACCTGGCATGTCTCTTTCTCTCTCTCTCTCTTTCTCTCTGCCTCGCTATCACCGAATCTCGGAAAATACAGCCGTCGTTCGTGTTTGACGTCAACAAGAACCTCAGGGGCTCAATTCTTGAATTCATTCGAAAGCGAAACTGAGAGAAACTTGCTCGTTGATGGCCAGAATAGTTCCTTATTCTGGCAAAGTCCCAAAAATATAGAAGAGTAAGAAAGAGAAACGTATGCGAAAATTCTGCCTCCACAGAAAAGTTGAAGTCGATTGGTTAAAAACCATGCAAACAGCTAATCGACTTGCAACTCCTTTATGAGAGCAGAATTTTAGCATACGTTTCTCTTTCGAATTCAAGAATCGAGCCCCAGGCACAGAGGACACAGGGGATCTTGGACTGATGGCTGAACTTTGAAATCGTCGATAATTTAATGTCCTATATTGTTATTCAGTTCAGGATGTAAAGATGTGTTGGAAACACAACATAAAAGAAACGAGAACGGAGATATTCACGAGTAGAGTCCTAAATAATCAGATAAGCGCAATCGTTACTCCCTCCATGCTTCTCATGGTCGCTATGTTGGGCCCGCAGCTGAAATAGTACAGCTAGTGCAACCATAGACTTAAGCCAACAGCACACGATACTATTTTTCCTACTGGACTATTTACGAGAACCAATAAGGATGCAGAGTTTTAGATCAGGTGACTTAAGGCTAAATCCTGATTGGCTCTCGTAAGCAATCCAGTGGGAAAAATAATATCGTGTGCCGTTGGCTTTATATACTAGACTGCACCATCCATATGGATGCACTGTTTTAAACGATAGAGTGCAGACATATCAAATGAGTCATGGGGCGTTTTCCAGCAAAGACACAATGTGACACAGTGTAACACTGTGAATCATTACATCCTTGTTGTTTGCCAATGTTAAACAAGGATAAAACGATTCACTGTGTTACACTGTGTCCTTGCTGGAAAACGCCCATGGGCTGCTTTCGCGAGAAGATCAAAATGATCCAGATTAAAATGACCTTGTGCTATGATTGGTCAAATTTGGAATTTCATTGAATAAAATTGTAATGCTATGAAATTTCAGATTTGACCAATCATAGCACAAGATCATTTTAATCTGGATTATTTTGATTTTCTCGCGAAAGCAGCCATGCTCTCTTTCACGTTCAGCGTCAAGAGGGGGGGAGAAAACGAACAAGTTGGACAAAGACACATTGGCCACGTTCAGCAAGCACAACTGTTGAGTGAGCGCTCGGTATGATTGGTTAATACTTTTAGATCCAGCCAATCATGTTAAGAAATCATTGAGCGCTCACTCAACAGTTGTATCTGCTGAACGCAGCCTATGACTCACTTCTGCTCTCCTTCTCTTTCTATGACCGGTATTCATAGTCAGATCACAGTATAACCAGTATGGGCACTCGCTCTTATGTTTCACGTTCGCGCCGATCCGTACTGCGCATCCGACATGTTTTTATTCTGACCAATCACAGGATTTTTGTACGTGTATTAGTGCAAAGTCGGTGTGACATTGAAAAATTCGCAGTGTTGACGAATAACGCGTAAATACTTTTATACGTTGGAGCAAGTAATTACATTAATTACTTTTATTAGAACATTTTCTTTCATAGGCCATTTCTATTTACAATAAATAATGTACGCCAGTTCGTATGCGCCTTTCCTGGATACGATCCTGAAAAGGGCCCAGGCACTTTTAGCCGTTGATACACTGTTGGCGCGAATAAAAACATGGCGGAAAATTAAGAACGCCCAGATCAAAGGTGCCGACAGTGAGTGCCCATACTGGTTATACTGTGGTCAGATCATAGTATAACTAATATGCCCACTCTGTCATTTGTTTTGTTTTGCGCCGATCCTTTCTGCGTATCCGCCATTATCTTGGTGCGGCCAATGCGACAGTGTGAAAGAATTTCACACACCAAAGTAATGGCGGAATACCCCGTGATCGAAACCGAAAAGATCAAAGGGCCGACAGAAAGTGGGCATACTAGTTATATTATGATCAGATCTTATATTCGACACTGTCTTAAGATCATCTTTCGATACTCCGTAGTCAATGAAATGTTCCGTACAGAATCTTTAGATAAATTCAAGACTGTCTTGAATAGAAGATCCGACTATGAATACCGGCCATAGGCCGTTCTTATATTTAAGATCATCTTAAGTATACTCTTCATATGTTTCTAACCAATCACAGAGCCGTATTAGCTTCTTAAGACAACACTTAAGATAATTTTGAAATAAGAAATACGAGTGCGACATAGTACAGCTGAAATAGTACAGGTTATGGTACGATATAACTCTAAACCACGCAACGTATAACCAAGATGTATCAAAAATGTTTCAGGGATATCTAAAATATGTTTTCTTTTAGAAAATAACATTACAAATATACCTTCTTCTTATTTACGATGCGCTTAGTTTGCACGGTTTGCACATAG